CAGCTTCCTTGAAGGCTTTTAACTTGATTTGGATGGTTCCTTGCACTAGATGTTGAGTGGTCTGAACCTACATCTGCTCCTCTTCTTGACCTTGTGTCAAGTAGACTGCGTCTCCATTTTCTTGAGATTGAGGTAAAATCGATTTGATTCTTAGTGTGTCCTGGTGTCTGGTGAAATCCATATCGCTGACTTGTGGATATCCTTGTGCTTGAACACAGTGCCTCACTCCAATCATCAAATTGTTGAGTGCACAGAATTCTGCAAACAATTCTCCATTCTCGTTGATCACCTCACCTAGCGCTTCTCGACCCATGGTTAGTTCTCTTCCTGTGTTGTCCCCTCCCAGTTTGACATTCATGTCACCCATTAGGATTTTGATATCGCCAACTGACGTCTTGTCTAGTGTTGATTGCACTTGTCTGTAGAATTCCTCCTTCGTCCCTTGCTCTGCATTATTTGTAGGGGCATAGCATTGTATGATTGTGACCTTCCTTCCTTTTGAGTTGAATCTTGCTGTCATGATCCTGGAGGAGATTGGTTCCCACTGCATGAGAGCCTTCGATGCTGTTGGGGACATCATGATAGCCCCTCGTAAACTCAGTGTGCTTGTGGTTGTCGTCTGGGTGACAATGTCGGAGTAGATTATCGATTCTCCAGTTGACAGTTTGGAGAGTCCACTTCCATTCCATCTGCTTTCGCAAATTCCAAGCACTTCGATGTTATACCTTCTCATCTCTTTTGCAATCTGGGCTGCTTTGTCGGGTTCAAGCATGGTGCGGACATTCCATGTCCCCACGTTTACTTTTGCTTTCATCGAGAGTGAGAAGACATATCGGCCAATTGGCTTCCCGAAGGCTTTCACCAACTGGTGCCATTTCGCCTCTCCGATTCCAGCGGGGAATAAGTTCGTTTTTATTTTCTATATATCGTTTGTGCTTTGAAGTTTGTTTAGCGGTTAGATTTGTTTTACGGGGTAGGCTTGCTAGCCCTATGCCCAACCTTCGCTCTTTACCTGGGCTTAGGACCGGCTAGTAACTAGTGAACTAGTTAACCAGGCGAGGTTAGCCAGCACCAATTTCAGACATAAAGAAAGACACTGTATGATGTGGCGTCCACCGAGCTCGACTCAGCGATGGACACATAAACCACATTGCTATTAGTCATCCCTGGAGAGGATCGGCGGAGGACTGGCGCTCCTTCTGGATTACGTGTTTAGACAGCGATCATGCGTTGGTTCGAGCGCGTATATGTCTGCGTCTCAATGGACGTAGGAGAGATTTGGCAACAGAACCACTATGAGTGCTGCTGGAAAACGGAAACACCAAAGCCGTGTTCAGTGAGAAGTTGGCTAGGCAGTTAACGGAACAGAAAACTATGACTAATCCAGAAGAAGCTTGGTGCCATCTCCAGTCTGCTGTAAGAGCGGCGTTGAAGACTATAGCCGACTGCAGAATAGTGGTTAAAAAGAGCCAGTGGATATCAGCAGCTTCTTCCGAACTAATTGATGCATGTGAACGCATCCCTGCAGGCTCTAAGTACAATAAACAGCAAGCGCAACTTAAAAGCAGATTGAGAAAACGTCTACGCAACGACTGCGAACAGTGGTGGGCAGCGAAGGCTAAAGAGATAGAAAAGGCAGCGGCGATAGCTAATAGTAGACGGTTATTTAGACTTAAGGAGACTGGGGGGGGGGAGGGGAAGATCAACAACAGTTAGTGAGGCTATAGCGGAGAAGGACGGATCTGTGATTCACCCGCTGGGGAGATGACTGGAACGATGAGCAAAACACTTCCAGGAACAGTTCAACTGGTCTCCAACCACCATTATGTTGCCCGCTATCCAGTCGGATCCTGAATGGAACATTGAGCTAGGCCTTCCAACACTAGCAGAAGTCATGAAAGCTGTAGGTAACTTGAAAGGAGGAAGGGCAGAAGGACCAGAACGACTAAATCCTGAGGAATACTAGGATGGTGGTGTAGTGCTCTTAGTCAGTGTCTAAGATCGTAGGTTCTATAATTCTCCGACGCCTGAGTGGAGCTCGGGAACAGCAAACCCGAGAAAATCAAGCAGGCTTTAGACCTGGCCGCGGGTGTGTCGTTCAAATATTCACACTGCGCCAGGTCCTGGAACGTAGGCACGCTTACAGACGCCCAACAATAGCTATATTTCTCTATCAGAAGGCGGCATTTGACTCCGTTGTTCGAGAAGTCTGATGACAATGTCTCTCAGTGAAAGGCGTGCCGAGTAAGTACATCACCTTATTGATAGCTCTCTACTCGAACACTTGTGGGCATGTTAGAGCCTATGGTGAGTTTTCCAGGGAGCTATGCTCATCAAGTGGTGTCCGTCAAGGATGCCCACTGTCTCCATTCTTATTCGATTTCATCATAGATATTCTTATGGAGGTCTGCCTCTCGTCACGTGACTTCGCAGAGGTTGACCTAATCGGTGGAGAGTTTTCGTCAGACCTAGAATATGCAGACGACGTAGTCCTGTTAGGTGAGGACGCTGAAAAGATGCAGAGTCTTCTGGACACTGAATGACAATCTGAGAATGTTTGGGAGGCGTTTCTCACCACCCAAATGCAAACTGTTGCTCCAGGATTGGTCGTCAACTGTACCTCGGCTAGCAATAGATAGTTTAGTGATTGAGTGTGTCGACCACTTCACTTACCTTGGAAGTAGGAACTGCCCCACCCTGGTAGCTCAATGGCCGATGAAATCTCTGCACGGATACAAAAGGCTCGATTGACTTTTGCCAACTTACGCCACCTATGGCGCCGCCGTGATATCCGATCATCTATTAAGGGTCGCGTGTACTGCATCTGCACAGCAGTCCAATCTGTTCTACTGTATGGCTGTGAAGCATGACCATTGAAGGTGGAGGATGTGAGAAGGCTTCAGGTGTTTGACCACCATCCCCATCGTAATATAGGCCATATTCTACGGTGTTACCACATGTGTAACGCAGAAGTCAGGTGTAGAGTTTTAGGGAGTAGAGGTAAATTAGTTGACTAGGTTATTAACCTTCATCAACTGAGATGGTTGGGACACGTGTTACGTATGCCTAGTCACCGATTGCCTCGTCACACAATGTTGGCTGAAGTAGGTCCAGGCTGGAAAAAGGCCCGAGGTGACCGGACTAAAACATGGCTCAAATGTATGAGATCTTTGACTGTTGGTTTAAGCTATGTAGGACGATTCATACTAGGTGGTTGGGGTCCGCGGGACAAGAGGAACCAGTCGTTGGAGACTCTAGGTGATCACATGGCTGAGAGCCGATGTCAGTGGCGCAGATGTATACACACATTATCCTCATCTTAACGCTTTACCAATTTCCACCATTTCTTCATTCTTCATTTCTGTCTTTTCGTACTTTATATTTCTTTTGACTGAATCATCTCTCCTCCATCTCGCACTTCACTGCCTTTTTACTTGATGTAGTGATATGAGGTGTGGCAACTCGAACCGTTACGCAGCAATGCCTGGTCCTATGTTGATACTGATGATGACATTTTTATTAATCACTGCTAGGTGTGTATATTATTCTTTATGTATGCTAACTCAAATTAGTTGTTGACTGCTATGCAACGTAATTGAATGGGGTTTAATTTTGGAGAATGTGTTTATAACATTACTTAAGGTTTGTAGGACTAACCAGCAGGCAAATTAAACTGAATATCTTGTTTTTACAACTGCATTTTGTGTTCCCACCGATGCACACTGCAGCTAGTACCTTCATCACATTTATGGTACACAACATAATGACTATGTCCAACAACTAAAAAACATTAAATTATCTCATCAGGTTACATCTTATCATTGTGTACATTAAAAACGAAATCTGTTGGAAGCGCACAGCCGTGAACAAGAGTAACTGGTAAGCAGAAGAGAGTATATGGAATTTGAAGAAGTGTTTAACACTTCTAGCTATCTTAGTTGATACGTGTATAAGGCGTCATCATAGGTTTTATCCATTCTTTTAAATGCGGTCATGTACCTGCAGCGTTCTCATATCTATGCATTTTAACTGTACTAAAGGTGGTTTTCTGCATAAGAGACAATAGACATTTCAATATCTATCTTGAACTACAGCGTTTATTTGGGAATAATTGGGGTTTCTTTCTCTGATGTGGGTTTATCCACCATCAGCTATCAGTACTAAAGCAGTTGTCAAGACACACAAGGGAGTCAGCGTACTTAATTAACCCATTGCCTGTACTAAGATTAGTTTTTAGACGGATCACAACGTAAGGATTTTTTTTGCAACAACAAAAGACAGTAACATGATTTGTCCTAAGTTTTGGATTATTAATCAGATAATAAATTCTTGGAAGGTACTTAGTTTTCTAATTACTCATCATTGTTTTTCATCATATTGCTGAGAACTTTGGAAGAGCGAAAGGTAGTGTTGCACTTAAAATAAGCAGTATCAGTTGGCAGTTTTCGCGAACTACATTTACAGAAATGCTTTCACTGTAACAGCTTAGAGAGCTCGAAATCGTCGTCATCGCTTTTCCATGACCGTATGCGAATGCCGAAAAAAGTTGGTGACCAATATTTTTGAATTTTCCTGTTTTTGAAAGTCAGTGGGCGACGTTCTATCTAAATAGTATCTTGATAGTATGCGTGACTGGACAACTAAGTCGCCGTACTGCATTTAAAACATAAATCCATGAGAGTCATAATATAAATTTTTGCTGTCTAACTCCTTATATCTTTACCTAAGACCTTGTACGACTGCTAATACCCTTATTTTTCTTATCCTGTTCACCTCCTTTCAATGTGTTCATATATATTGCAGCAGCTTAGATCGCCATGCGATCAAACCAACTCCTGTATTGTTATTTCTTCCTACTTCTATCCCGGTGTGACATCTTCAAGATGTGTTTCTTGTTGGTCATATTGTATCTAACTTGAAAAGAAAACACTAGGTCAATAACACAGTTCAGTGTTTCTGTTTAGTTACGTTCATATATTATTTTTGTTTTTGTTTACTAGGCAACATATTCAGTGGAAAATTCAGGTCACATGTTTCTCTCTAATCAAAGTCCGCTCATTCCTCATTCGGTCAGCTCTCAGGCTGTAAACCTCCAGTTCCGCTCAGTTTGTCGTAATACTCACCAAAACAGTTCATCTGTGATTTCCAGTTCAAATCCTTCGAGCCGCGCTACTACAGGTGTTTCCAATAACTCACTTCAAACGCGTGTCTCTTTGTCCCACTACGACCTATCATCACGACAAGTAGACAAAATAATCGAAATGCTGGCTGAACAGGCTCACTGTAAAACCACAACTGAGGAATGCAACATGCATAGTGATGTGTCACTAAATTCTAGCAGATTACACGATAATTTAAAGAATGTGACATCACCTGGCAATTCAGCTAGAGCATTCATTTCACACACTCTTCAGACCGATCATAGATGTAAGTCGAATCGTTCACTTTCATTATAATTTTCAGTTAACACTCGACAGTTATTTACATTTGTCAAGGAAACTAGGGTCAAAGATTCAATGGTTATTGGGACGTAAGCGGTGAAAGTTGGTCCCTCGATTCACTCGCAAAGAGGCGAACGCAATAACAGGAGAAGGACTTTGAAAAAAACAATTAAACAAACTAAACACAGTCATCTTGTACACATCTGTGTATTAGGCAATAAGCCAAACTTATTGTGCGATAGCTAGTAATAATACCTGACTTCCCAAACCTCGATAAATGGAGCGGCGTAAGAACTCATAACCATTCGCCGGGTAGTCATTTCCCTAAACCAGTGAATCACAACTCCATACTTGCTGCAAACGGTTCAGCTGTTTTCCAGCTGCTGTTCCATTGTCTGCTATCCACTGAGATCCTCAATCTAAAATTGAGATGGGGTCCCCAACACCCACAGAGGCCGAGAAAGCTATCAGTAACCTGGGACGAAAACATACAGCAGAGCCACATCGGCTAGTACCAGAAGTGCTCGAAGATTTTTGGTTAGGTTAACTGGTGTTAGCTAGTGCAGGGGTATCAGGTGTGCTGCTGTGTGACCTTTTTCTACCACTAGCAATCGCAGACTTCAAGAAGCTGCGAGGTCACTTTTAATGACCAGGAGGTTGTCTTTTCTTGAGAAGGTGTTTGTTTGGATACTGGTTTTTATGATTCACGGGTGTGTAAACGACTTTCGGGGCAGCAAACCCGAGAAAACTGTTCATATTTTAAGGGTCGCCGTGGGTGCATTGACCAGATACTGACTATCCGCTAGGTTTTGGGACATAAGCACACCTACCGATGGCCGATGCCAACTGCATTTCACTATTTAAAGTCGTTATCTGATTCTGTTGGTCGAGAGAGGTCTTATGACAGTGTGTTTCACTGAAAGGGATGCTTAGGAAAGTACATCGCCCTGTTGAAATCTCTGTATTCGAACACCGTCAAACATGTTAGAGCTTATGGTGAGTTATTTATGTCGAGCGGTGGCCGTCTAGGATATCCACTGTCTTCACTCTCATTCGATCTTATCACAGAAGTGTTTATGAAGGTTTTACGGGGATTGATCTTGTAGTAGGAGAATCCTTAGTAGATCCAGAGAATGCAGATGGCATAGTCCAGTTAGGTGAATACAGTTTTCTTGGCGCCTAAAATGGAAATTTGAGAATTTTCAGAATGCGTTTCTTACCACCCAAATGTAAAGTGTTACTCTAGAACTTGTCTTCGCTGGTGCGTTGTCTAGTAATAGAGCCGGGATGGTTGTGTGCGTTGACCACTTTATTTACTTGGGAAGTCGGATCAGCGCTTAGGATTCAGTGGTCGACGGATACAAAAGACAATTGGTTTTTGCCAACATACGCTATTCAGGGGCGTGATATCGGATTGTCCATGCAGAGCCGTGTGTACTGTGCTACAGTTCTATCTGTTCTACTATATGGCTGTGAAGCATGGGGACTGAAATTAGAAGATATGCTAGGGTTTCAGGCGTTCGACCATGGTTGGATTCATAGCAAAGGTTGTGTTATGTTGTTACCACATCAGTAACGTAGATATCAGGTCCAGAGGTTTAGATAGAAGTATCTGAGGTAGTTTTTGTGCATGTCTGGGCGTGATCACAAGAACTAGCTTTCGTATCCTAGAAACTCTCAATGGAATGTTGCTGTTTTCCATTTCGGCTGGGTGAGGTTAAGCTGTTAGCCACACTTCTGTTCTCTGTGTGTCTTTTATATAGTAGAAATCCATAAATCAAGATGTCAAAATTTCGACTAGCGAAGCTTGTTTTCTGATTTGACGGAGGATGTGTACGTTGAAAGCTCATGTGTTGTTTGGAGACGTGGTATCAAGAGATCGGGGATCCCGTTCAGTGAACCGGAATCGTTATAAAGAGCTTAGAAAAATTGATGGTTTCGTAGGAATACTAATAAAGAGACGTGAGGAAAGGTTAGAAGGCAAAGTTGTACAATACTGTAAAGGATCTGTGAGGAATTTGGTGCTGACAGAGTTGTTACGGCGGTTGATACTTCTCAGCTGTCAGCGTCAGTAAGTCGGTTTGGTAACAATTGTGGGTAACTGCAAAAGCTGTAATAAATCTATTTGATGTCGGTCTTGCATGACGTTTTTAAAAGTTTGAAATTTAGCGTTAGTTTACTTCAGTCATGGCAAGAAACATGCTGGCATAATCGAAAGCCTCAGGGTAGAAGGTAATTGCTTCTTTTTGAAGGCGACGTTTCATTATTTCTCCTCCCATAAGAAAGGCAGCATGAGCTCGGTATCATTGGTCATCAATATTACACGATCACACATGTGCAGTCTTGTCATCTCCGAAGTCTTGAATATTGTCATGGATGTCCGTAAATTTCTTTTCCCTACTGTCATATACTACATTGTAATAAATTCGTTTTTCTATGCGCTTCAGTGTATCCTCCTTTCCAGCGCAACAGCTTATAAAGATACACCTCTGCCTCCATACCCGTATGAAATGCGATGACATGGGTTAAACTGAGCCCGACCAACAAAACTGAGAACCTTCCATATGACTATATCCTTTAAAGTTGCCAGACGTCCCAGTAACAAACATCGAACAAGTGGTTTCTAACTAGCTTAATCTGTACACCAGGAGAGCAAATCTCAACATTCAGGCTAGCGAAAACATTGAAGACGTCAGAAAGGGAATACATCTCCACGATTGTGACCGATTTTCATCCATCTTATCAAGTCCTCAAAAATTGGTTCCTATGGTCTCGAGAACCTCAGTCATGTAGTTTACACGACTCAAACCGACCTTCAGAGACTGGTACCACGTCTTCGTAAGCTCATCTTGAGTTCCCCCCTTGCAAACTAATCCAACTTCTTCTGGCATCGCACGTCGAGTTAGGTGGTGACCCGGCATGAACAACATATGTCAAAGCCACCTCAGTTGGTGAAGGTTCACAGCCTCATCGATTGAGTTTCCTATTCTCCTTCGCCTAACCTCGACATTGCTCATATGATGATTACACCATACGCGAGCAACGTTATGAGGACACTTGTGGTCAAAATCTCGTGACTGTTTCATAATATGACAGGTGGATGTGAAACGCGTGCCAAGCATAGACAGATTTCTGCTCGAGGTGTTCAGGAGAGCCTGGATTTTGTCAGCATCTCCGCCTAGCAGGACAGTGTCGTTTACGTACTCCAGGTGAACCAGATGCCCTCCAGGGAGTAGACTAATCCCTGTGAAGTGAGATGTACCCGAGGTTATGTTCATTAGCACATCTATAGAGAAGTTGAGAAGGAACAATGAGAGCGCACATCCCTGTTCGACACCACTAGTTGTCATCAATTCAAATAACAACTCTTCGTAAACCCTTACATGGTTGGGTGAGTTCGATTTGAGAGCTTTGATAAGCATTATACACTTTATTCATACTCCTGGTGGTAGGTGATGTGCATCAACACTGTATATGTACGGCGGGAATGTCTTCTTGGCATCATGATTATTAAGCGGTCGAGGTTTCGTGTGAAAATTGTTTTATAACGTAATTATGATGCTAAAATTGTTCGGTACTCCCTTCACTTCCAGACACTCCTATAAATACTTCACAGTTGACAGAGTCGAATTGCGCCTTCAGGTCAAGAAATATGGCAAGTGTCGGCCACTGGCCGGTAAGTATGCCTGCGTTCCAGGAGCTGTCGAAGGGTGAAAATCTGATCGATGCGCCCTTTCCGAGATCCAAAACTCAACTGGTTTTTTCTCGAGCTGCAGTTAAGTGTCAGATAACTATGGACCAAAGAATCTAGGATACGATGTTAGTTAGACTGATTCACCTATGGTTGTCATAATAAGACTTATCCGCTTCCTATGGAGTGGGGATATGAGTGAGTTAGACCAGTCTGACTGCACTACCTGTGAATCCCATACACTGCATAGTACCTCCGTTACTCCAATCGTCAATTCCCTACCTCCATCCTGAGAAAGGTGTGGTGACATACCGTGAGGTGCTGCTGCTTTGGATCTTTTCAAGTGAAGCTATGCTGAGGGCAAGTCGAAGTGTGCTTCGAAGTGTTCTCTTCCCAACGTTCTAGCCGCCTGTCTTGTCCTGGGATGTTATTAGCGTGGCATCCCTTTTGATGATTATTTCACTCGCCATCGTCTTCTTCTTGGCGGTATCCTTAATGGGTCTAGTCAGTTGCTGATTGTTACCTAACACTGGTATCTTTTCTCTCTCTCTTGCCCTAAGTTAGTGCTATATCTGCACCAGAGAGTGCTAGAGACAGCTATTGGATGTCCAGATACTGGTGAAGTGAATGTTGAAGATTCTTGATAATGGCCAATTGAGGTCATACAGGTGTGTCGTGTAAGCATGTCTCAGAGGCACGACGGACATCCATAGTTTGAGGTACTAGAGTTCTGATGAGGGATATCTGCTGTGAGATTTGGACTATGGCCCGGATGTTGAAAGCCCAAACGTGGATTGGATGGCGGTTTCTTAAGAGACTATGAAGGGTGTTTCGATGGCTTTGATCGTTGTCGATAGTCGCAGAGTAAGAAGTTGCGGAAGGTGTGAAAGGTCTTATATTGGTATCAGGAAGTAAAGGTAAGGAGGGAGATAGGAGTTTTGTATACTGTTGGAAATGTGCAGGCAGTTGACACTTCCTGGCTGCTGACGTTATGGAAGTTGTTTCTGCAGGGTACCTGAGATAAGAAATTTGTGACCTTTAGCTCAAGGGATATCTGCTTGAGTCCTGTCACAGACTGCCCTAATAAGATTGTTGGTATGTGATTCGACTATTCTAACGCTGTCTAGAAAAAACCCATACCGCCGGCACTGGAAGACCATGAGACAGAAGGGAGTGTTCTATTTCGAGGCAAATCTTTCTTAAGTTTCCGTTCCTATAAGGAAGGCAGCACCAGCATAGTACTGCTGGTCGTCCTTGGGAAACACCCCCCCTGCTGTCATACCTCGTCCAGCCAGCAGTTTATCTTCGCCCGCGGATCCCTATCGTAACAGAGCAGTTTAAACTATGGAGGCAACTGCTTTTTGTCTTACTACTATCCATCAGACCTTTATGACATGACAGAGCATTGGAGAATCAAGCGTTCCAGCCTGTGTGGCTCGTTTTGTCGTTGTGTGATGCGTGCTTGGTCACGTCGTTTAGTCAGGAGTTGATGTGCGGATGTGCATGAATAGTTACCTCGTGTTACACTTGCAATTTTGTTCCCGGCATATAGTGAAGTTCTACTTCGCTTTGATTTTCAGTCTGTCGGTCCATCATCTGTATGCATTTTCGGAAACTTATTGTTCCGGCGATTGTTTCTAGTAGGTTGTGTTTAAATTCCGCAACACGAGTCTATATTCACTTCACCATTTTCTGACACGGAACTTAGTTTTCAGTGTTATCAAAGTTTATTGTATGATCATACGGTACTGGTTGATTTCTATGGTTTTAAAATATTCATTTTCATTTTTAAACCCGATTTTTTAAAAATACATTGCATATATTTTAGTGAACCAAGATCCTATGAATTTGAATCCCCCATCCCAACACAATCAGCTGAATGAGCTGGTACAAATATTAAAAGCAGCACTGCATCATCATACGTCCAGTCATTTACCCGCGAATCCAGCAGCGTTCGTATCCACGAGTAGTCGACAAACTTCAGGTTCCCTTCCTGATTCTTCAGGTTCTCATGACACTATCAAATCTCACTCTATGGATATTGGAGGTCAGTTTGGATTTATGCTAGTTTTGTTTGATAAATTATTACGCGTTACTCTTGAAATTGAGTTTGTTGTAAAACGAATCAAAATCGCTTAACCTTTTTGGATCAGAATGCTTGGCTGTCTAGTGGGGAAAATATAATTTCGACTTTCGATTTATCCTCTGTTAATGTCGTCAACTGGTTTGTCCTTTCTTAGAAACGATTTAGTTTATGAAGTTTGCAATTCGATCAGTGTATGTATTCAGAGCGAATATGATAGTCGAATCATGATGAGTTTTGTACCTCACATAGCCTACTTTGACTACTGATAAACAGCCATTTGGGTTCCCTTCGACTGAATAGATCTGTAAACGCTAGGAAAGATCGCAATACCTATCAATCCCTATTGGTTATCTCTGCTTACGCACCCACTGACTGCAGTTCGGATAATGCAAAGGATGAATTCTATCATAAGCTGTCGATTTTGCTACAGACGTACTCCTAATATCAGCTGACTTCAACGCTCAAGTAGGGAATATGAGTCAATGAGAAAATCATCTCAATGGTATCTACGGAATCCCATGCCAACGAACCAACAACGGTAATCACCTGTTGCAGTTTCAATCTGACAATCACATGTTTCTAGCCAGCACTAACTTTGAGCATAAAGTGTCCGCCGAAATCAAACCAACGATGGACACATAGATCATATTGCAATAAGCCATTGCTGAAAAGGTTCTGTGGAAAATTACCGTTTTTTCTGGAGTACTTGTTTGGACTCCGATCACTCACTAGTATATAGGCACGCACATGTCTGCACCTTAATGGTCGCAAGAAACAGGCCACAGCCAAAACCTCGACTGGAAGATGAGAACATGAAGTACGTAGTTACGGACGAAATAGCTGCTAGGCCTCGACCTACACATGACAGTCATTCTCATCCCGAGGAAACTTGACGTCATGTTAAGTTTACTGTAGGAACAGCGGTTAAGGCAGTTGATAGTAACCTACATCCAAAGGTTAGCAAACGTCATTGGATTTCAGCCATGTCATCCAAACTGTTTGGTATGAGAAGCCTAACTCCAGCTACCTCTCACTACAACCAAAGCCGAAACCAACGTAATCTTAAATTGACCAGGAGTCTTCGCAATGATCGTGAGAAGTGGTGTGTATGAATTAAAGGGAAAGAGATGGAGAAGACATCCAAAAACTGACTAGACCCATTAAGGATACCGCCAAGAAGAAGACGATGGCGAGTGAAATAATCATCAAAAGGGATGCCACGCTAATAACATCCCAGGACAAGACAGGCGGCTAGAACGTTGGGAAGAGAACACTTCGAAGCACACTTCGACTTGCCCTCAGCATAGCTTCACTTGAAAAGATCCAAAGCAGCAGCACCTCACGGTATGTCACCACACCTTTCTCAGGATGGAGGTAGGGAATTGACGATTGGAGTAACGGAGGTACTATGCAGTGTATGGGATTCACAGGTAGTGCAGTCAGACTGGTCTAACTCACTCATATCCCCACTCCATAGGAAGCGGATAAGTCTTATTATGACAACCATAGGTGAATCAGTCTAACTAACATCGTATCCTAGATTCTTTGGTCCATAGTTATCTGACACTTAACTGCAGCTCGAGAAAAAACCAGTTGAGTTTTGGATCTCGGAAAGGGCGCATCGATCAGATTTTCACCCTTCGACAGCTCCTGGAACGCAGGCATACTTACCGGCCAGTGGCCGACACTTGCCATATTTCTTGACCTGAAGGCGCAATTCGACTCTGTCAACTGTGAAGTATTTATAGGAGTGTCTGGAAGTGAAGGGAGTACCGAACAATTTTAGCATCATAATTACGTTATAAAACAATTTTCACACGAAACCTCGACCGCTTAATAATCATGATGCCAAGAAGACATTCCCGCCGTACATATACAGTGTTGATGCACATCACCTACCACCAGGAGTATGAATAAAGTGTATAATGCTTATCAAAGCTCTCAAATCGAACTCACCCAACCATGTAAGGGTTTACGAAGAGTTGTTATTTGAATTGATGACAACTAGTGGTGTCGAACAGGGATGTGCGCTTTCATTGTTCCTTCTCAACTTCTCTATAGATGTGCTAATGAACATAACCTCGGGTACATCTCACTTCACAGGGATTAGTCTACTCCCTGGAGGGCATCTGGTTCACCTGGAGTACGTAAACGACACTGTCCTGCTAGGCGGAGATGCTGACAAAATCCAGGCTCTCCTGAACACCTCGAGCAGAAATCTGTCTATGCTTGGCACGCGTTTCACATCCACCTGTCATATTATGAAACAGTCACGAGATTTTGACCACAAGTGTCCTCATAACGTTGCTCGCGTATGGTGTAATCATCATATGAGCAATGTCGAGGTTAGGCGAAGGAGAATAGGAAACTCAATCGATGAGGCTGTGAACCTTCACCAACTGAGGTGGCTTTGACATATGTTGTTCATGCCGGGTCACCACCTAACTCGACGTGCGATGCCAGAAGAAGTTGGATTAGTTTGCAAGGGGGGAACTCAAGATGAGCTTACGAAGACGTGGTACCAGTCTCTGAAGGTCGGTTTGAGTCGTGTAAACTACATGACTGAGGTTCTCGAGACCATAGGAACCAATTTTTGAGGACTTGATAAGATGGATGAAAATCGGTCACAATCGTGGAGATGTATTCCCTTTCTGACGTCTTCAATGTTTTCGCTAGCCTGAATGTTGAGATTTGCTCTCGCCGTGTTCACGTTAACTGAGTTGGAAATCGGTTTTTTATATATTTGTTGTTTGTTCTCATCGGCTGTATTTTAGTTGAAGGGGGATTTTCTTGTTTGCTATTCGGTTTGTTGCATCTGTGTGTTTTGATTTTTGGTATTGTAATGTGCTTCTAGTCGGCTTGTTTGGTACGACTGGTTGTCGCCTTCAGGCGGATGCTGGTGGTGCCTCTTTCTTGAGGTGTTTGTTTGGATACTGGTTTTTATGATTCACGGGTGTGTAAACGACTTTCGGGGCAGCAAACCCGAGAAAACTGTTCATATTTTAAGGGTCGCCGTGGGTGCATTGACCAGATACTGACTATCCGCTAGGTTTTGGGACATAAGCACACCTACCGATGGCCGATGCCAACTGCATTTCACTATTTAAAGTCGTTATCTGATTCTGTTGGTCGAGAGAGGTCTTATGACAGTGTGTTTCACTGAAAGGGATGCTTAGGAAAGTACATCGCCCTGTTGAAATCTCTGTATTCGAACACCGTCAAACATGTTAGAGCTTATGGTGAGTTATTTATGTCGAGCGGTGGCCGTCTAGGATATCCACTGTCTTCACTCTCATTCGATCTTATCACAGAAGTGTTTATGAAGGTTTTACGGGGATTGATCTTGTAGTAGGAGAATCCTTAGTAGATCCAGAGAATGCAGATGGCATAGTCCAGTTAGGTGAATACAGTTTTCTTGGCGCCTAAAATGGAAATTTGAGAATTTTCAGAATGCGTTTCTTACCACCCAAATGTAAAGTGTTACTCTAGAACTTGTCTTCGCTGGTGCGTTGTCTAGTAATAGAGCCGGGATGGTTGTGTGCGTTGACCACTTTATTTACTTGGGAAGTCGGATCAGCGCTTAGGATTCAGTGGTCGACGGATACAAAAGACAATTGGTTTTTGCCAACATACGCTATTCAGGGGCGTGATATCGGATTGTCCATGCAGAGCCGTGTGTACTGTGCTACAGTTCTATCTGTTCTACTATATGGCTGTGAAGCATGGGGACTGAAATTAGAAGATATGCTAGGGTTTCAGGCGTTCGACCATGGTTGGATTCATAGCAAAGGTTGTGTTATGTTGTTACCACATCAGTAACGTAGATATCAGGTCCAGAGGTTTAGATAGAAGTATCTGAGGTAGTTTTTGTGGATAGCTTGGCATGTTCTCACTTGTGGTTAATTGTTGGCTGAGGTTCTTGAGGCTAGTAGACGATTTGGTCGGTCCATGCTTTATTTGGGCATTTGTCTGTATATTTTCTTTTGGATTGAGACATGGTGAGCGGTTTAGACTTGTGTGTATGTGCGCTAAGTGTTACTAACGGGTGGTGTATTACTCCACGTGATATGATAGAGAATCGATGTCAGTTTTGGTGATTTATCTGCTGAATAGCTTTATTTTGATTGTCTTGCTGAGTAACAGTGTTCTCATATTTCTCCTTACTCTGTCGACTTATTTGTGCCATATTTGCCTTACTCTCTTTTTATGGCATTCACTTTCGATTTGCTGCTTTGATATGTGGCATCTTTTGTGTGTATTCGGTAATGTTTGGTAATTTATCAATTTAGTCTGTTCAACTGATATGCATCATTGCTAAATAGTTTGTTTTTGATAACAGGTAGTCTATATAAGTTTTCTGCTTTCAGGTTTACGGACTAGTGCTGAATGTTGAAAGCCTGGTCGGCACTCAATAAACGTACCAGAGTAACTGTCGAGAATACACATTATCATTTTGAGATACTAAGTATCAAACGACCGCGGCGGTAACTCACTTATTGATCACAACTTTATAGGAGGTAACTGGCTGGAAATTAAAGCTGTAAAATAAGGATCTCTTTTCCCACATTGTATTAAATATCGCAAATTTATTGTAAACAGCGAAAATCATTTCTAGCTTCTTAGCTTTTCTGTTATTTCAAATAGTGGTAGCTACTTATTTTACTTTAATGTCCAGGGTAGTCCCTGAAGATAGTTAGCACTCCCTGTGGGGAATTTTTCGGACATATAGTCTTTTTATGTCCAGATTTCTTAATCACTATGCGAGTTGTATTGCCTTTTGGAACAGTAACAAAAACTTGTTGGTTTGATGGTGTTGTCTTCTGTCTCTAAAGTCAATTAAGAAATTACCTGTAGTCTAACTAGGTCAACTGTCATAATTATGTTCAGCGTTTTTTCGCCGTCTGCCATACGGGATTTGACGAAAGTTATGTTTTGAATTAGATGAATTTATTTTATTCGTATATTAGTCTCTTATTTTCTCATATTTTTCTAGTGGGTCAGGAGAGCAAGGCTTTCATATCAACATCGATTCAGGATGGATCATCTTTTTCATCACAAACCGGGTATGTTTCGTTCTTTTTAGTGAATAAACTAACTCTTGTTTTACTTTGGATACATATATGATGACATGTCAACGAGTGATATGCTATTAGTACCAACTATGTAATTCACACGTGGATTTTTATTACATCAATGTTTTGCACTTATAGGATTTCTTGGTTGCCGTAACGCGAAATTTAGATTTATTAGTACACTTGCCAAGATGGTCATATGTGTGAATTTAAGCCACGAGATGAAAGTTCATTGCAATCAACTGTAAGCGAAACGTTCAGAAAAATCTTGTTTTGATTTACCAAACACTGGAATTATATCAAAACCTACCTGTATATGGCATTTAATTTATAGCCAGATCAGGAAAAATGACTTGAGTTGCAACTCTATCTGAGCTGCATTTCTTACAACTGAGCAATATCCAGCTTGTTAAATGCCACTTATTTGTTGCTATGCTAATCAGGTTAAAACGTTTATTTCATAATTGTCTGTTACTCGTTAAGTTGACCAAAAGCAAACGTTTCGTTGTCGTGTTGACAGAAAATGTTTCAGAATATGGATAAAAAATGGTTCTGTTTCATTGGCTCATTCGCATAGACTTTCGACATCCAATTACTGATTATGGGGTCGGGTCAAACCCCATTTCAGCTGCTGACATTTAGATGACTACCTCTAATACAGCAGGTGAGTAATAAGCGGATGACAGTGGTAAGATGAAGACTACAAACAGTTTAGGAACACTCATCTAGTGAAACCGATTGTGTCGTTTCGTTACACGAAGACGATTCATAGCAAAAATGAAAATACGCAACAGATAACAAGGAAGCACTGAGCAATCCAAATTAAAAACAGTCTGACGAATAACAAACCAAAAGGAAAATTCTGTGGGAAAAAAGCAAAACCACCGGTTTTTAGGTCGGACTGAAAATAGTGGCCAACTTGTCCATTCAACTCGACGAGCCTTTCCATCTGAACAGCCCATAGCCTACTCCGCGGATATTCTACAGCAACAGTGTACATATAGAGTTTATCTATTGTGACAACTGAAGTAAGCTCAGTTGCCGTAACAGTCTACTCGTAAGCTACACTCCAAATGGACTAACTGTTAAAGTTAACGAGAAGTTTCTTTGGTAATATCGCGTAGCAATCTCTTTGTTAACTCGATAATATCCACGCAAGCAGGAAGTAGTGTTTTTGATTTTGAATCAACTGTCCTTCGTGTGATCAGATGTAGGCATTGCTACACAATTGTTTAGTATTCTGAAAATACGCACTATGGTTATTCTTAGAAATTTGATTGTACAAGTAACAATTTTTTTATTTTTAAAAACAGGTCACGAACGAGCGTAACCAATCGTTTGGTTTCAGATTCATTTCCCTTCAGTAGAATCAATACGGGAATAGATCACTCAGGGTCTCCTGCTTCAGCATGCAATTATTCCAACGTAAGCAATTCTGCTAAGACAAATGAGGATAACTCTGAAATTAACGACAGAAGAGAGACTCCAAACGCACCTAGCCCTACTTCTGCTTCCCCATCAATTCGTTCAGGTCATTCTACTAACACATTAATTGATATTACGACTAAATCAACATTCTCACCAGCTCCGGCATCTGAAAACTGTCTTGTCTTGGAGAAAATATCTGATGTGCTGGATAGTTCAGAAATGAAGTCGTTTTTCACTCCTGGACTTATTTCTAATTATCAGGATGAAACGTTGCAACGTTTAGAACAAGAAGTGAGTTTTGAATGGAGTGAGAATCTTATCTTTCCCCATCAGTATTGCTACAAGCTATTACTTTTAGTCGTCCCTCGCATTTATGCCACAATCTGTATTTCTTTGGATGCTATTAATTATCACTTAAATTGTCTACTTCCAGGCTCAAATTGAATCCAAAAATTTTGATCGACTGCAAAGTGTTCTGTATGGAGAACTGTCAGCTGAGTCGAAAAAACTGCGCGCCTTAGTTCGAATAAGTGAAGCTAAACTTGCCATTCATAAAGAGAAGTGAGTGATAAATCTGTTGATCATCACACAGTCACTATTTTGATTATCATCCTTTACTACTTTGGACGTATCGTTTCTGTACAATTCTCCACTTTGCTTTGATTCCGAAACGAGTGTTAGTGCTTGTGTTTTTTAATCATGGTGTGATTCTCTGGCACTAAATTGGGCATATGCCATACAATTCAGAGTGTGAGTTGATGTAGTGAGTAATCACAGTATTATTTATAGGTACAGGTACCTGTAGAACCAGGTACTAAAAGACAAAACGTCAAGGATCTCATGCCCATATAAAGACATAAAAGTTTCTTTGATCACACTGTCTTTTGCTTACATGTTGGCATTCAGCTACAGCATGTAATGTTTGCAAATCAGAAAGCAACAGTTGACTACTCTTAGGCCAATTCTTCTCGCAGATTACAGTGGGTTTTTACAGACAGGAATTCGTAGGCAACCTTGATTAGATCCTACGTTTCGTAGTAAAGGTCAGTCTTCCGTATTTTAGATACTATACACCGTGGATAAAACACTAAACAATCCATATAAACAGTTTTCCAAGTGAAATAAAGCGTCTACTGAGTTTTTCCCGTTACTTACGTCAAATAATGAATTGCGCAGTCGATCTTTAATATGTATTCGGTTCAGGAGCTGTGGCAGCTCGGACCGTTACACAGTAATGCTTGGTCCTATGTTGATTTGGATTGATGTATTCAGTCGGATTAAACGCTGACGAAATATTTAGACTTGTGTCCATCAGCCGTACAGCTTACAAACCCTAACCTACTTATAATGTTATATATTCAGCAGTTAACTTCAATTTTTTACACCACACTTTCCAGGTAAACGTCATCTGGTGTACTTATATTACTTGAGGTGCTAGGCCAACATTTGTCCATCTCAGTTAAGAAAAATTGCTGTGACGCATCACCAGTGTTAAAGTAATAGCTTGCATATTGTTTTCTCTTTGTTCAGGCAAACATCGCTACAAGAGTTAATGGACGCAATTGAAGTACGAAAACATCTGCCCAATCTGTCTTTCGTGGATGATGTATTATAAACACCTCAAACTTCTTTTGTTTACTTTCTCCGTGTGATAATCTTGGTTTATTGGATCTTATTCTTTGCGCACAACATGTTCATACTAATGGTGGATGTCCTGTTTACTATGTTTACAAATCCTAATAATTGAATAATTGTTCATTTTGTATCCTGCCTAAATTCCGTGATCTTGCAATGTTTATTAACCCTCAAACCGGCTATTGATATCCTATTTTCTTACAACTTCCTTCAGTCAAATTGATGATGAGCACTTTTTTGTAAAAGACTGTACAGTTGTACACTTTCTAGACCTAATCAGAGTTTAACTGATGTTTTTTGTTCTCCCTGCACACAATTGCTTAGTTCTACAAAATATGTGAAGTAAAAATAAGTACATTTTCATGAACTTTAAACATTCTTTTTAAAAATAAAAAATTACATGGGCGCACCAGTGTGTGCGCTACTGAATGTTTGGGAATGAATAACTGTCCGTACATAACTAAATTATGTAAATGGGTAACAAAAAGGTCATAAGGTGCTGTACAACACTTTACAGAAAACAAAGTTTTCAGTTTTAGGAAAAGTCATTCAAAACACTGACTATTCTGTTGAAGTAAGAGGACCATGGGTTGTGTAATTCTATTTCTCTATTCAAATATTTTCTGCTAGTCACCAACAGCGGAACCCTGAAATAAAAAAAACATGGCCACATCTGGTTTTAGTGAAATTGTCAAATTAAATAATAAAACGGGGCTTCGAACTATACAGAAAACTATCTAAACTTTTTAAGTTGTTTGTTTAAGCTCGTCTGAGTCATGGCGAGCAGCCGTATTGGGGAGGCAACAAATATCGATTCCTGGTCGGTCGGCTGTTCATTGAGTACTGGTTGAGACGTTAAGCTTTTTATTTGACTGTACGGATGCAAGATACTGGGAGACTTTGTAACCATTTCCTTAATGTGAAAGTTCTAAAATTAAGATAAAATGTTCTTACGGAATATGATGGGATGTTTCACTCCTGCATTATATTCAAAGCAGGCGGTAGAATGCTTATAGTATAGAACTTACCAGGTTTATTCTGTGGACGCTGTTAGTTATATCCATTTGTGAGTTGGTTGCAGGGCTGTCATCAACAGACGCATCAGGAATTGATGATATAGCAGAACGTATAATAGAAAATGGCATAGCGGAAGCAAACTGTATTTCTGCATTCCTTGAGTGACTTGTCTTACCAATTTGTGCGGCAAAGTCGGCAGGCCCTTGGCACACGACGCATGTCAGTGTTGATTGTGCTTCTCTAAACAGCTATTGGGAATAAAATATGTTTTTGTGTGAGATAGCAAACACTGACATGTAAAAGTTATGAATATTTAACTTTCGCTTCAAGAGTAGTTGAGTCAATTCGCGAGATAGACAAGCCTTTTCAAACCCATGATTAGCTGTATAGTAGACGATGACCATATTGGTCGGTGACCTCTAAGACGACATGGACTGTGGTACCTGATCGATTACCTTAATAGTGATTCAATGAATAACGAAGCAGCTACTCATCTACAGAGACGAATGGTACTCAAAAGAACCTATTGAGAGTTTGTTCAGACATAGTGAAGCTGTGCATATAAGATTCCCAGCAAGTGGGATATCCTGAATAAGCTAAATACATTAGTTCATTCGACAACATTTCTCAATTTCGAAGACATCTTGCTTTGATTTTCTCATCACAATATTAAATCTCAGGTTTATATTCCTTTGACTAATTGTTTTATTTCAAATACTAGAAATCTGGGACAATTAGGCACATAATACGGGAAATGCAATTAAATAGGTATGTGTACTAGGTCTGTACGTAGTGAAATTGTGTTTATCGTTATGCGTAGAAACGAAGTCCAGACTTGGCGCGCAGTAAATGTAACGAACCGATCACAAATCAACAACTGGGTAGCTACTTTTGTGGAACCATCCTAAATTTCATCCAAGTTTTTGTATAGGGAGAGTAAAATTTGAGCACTGAGAGTGTACAGTTTAATGTTGATTTGTTTGTTGAATACTTATTTTTTATTGAGTAACGTTTGAACAAAATATATGTAACACTTACATGCAATACTTCATCAAGGGTGACTCCCATTAACCAATGTCCATTGATTTCAAGTAGCCTATCACCTGGTTTCAGTCGACCATCTCGAGCAATTACACCATCGGGTGAAACCCATGTTACAAATATTCCATCATCATTAGCCAGCGATGACATGCATGATCCTAACGAAGCTACTGGACTGCAATCACCAGTGCTAAGTCCACCTGTAACACGCAACCCATATCGCTCTCCAGGTCGTTTGGTCACAGTGATACACTAAAGACAAAAATACATCAGTGAAATTATATTCAAATACATAAGTTGATAACCAGGAAACTCTTAACGTACCCTTAGGCCGGGAGGAGGGGGGTCTCTGCGTACCTCCAATTGAAGCTCCTTAACAGGTTTTATCAATTCTTGCACAGCTTCGTCATGTGTAGCATGCCTCAAGTCCACTCCGTTAACCCTAAGAATCCTGTCTCCAATGCGCAAGCCAGTATTGGCAGCAGCACCATCCGCAGAAATCTATAAAAATTAATATAATTTCATAAGAGGGAATTCAGCAAGAAAGGAGTCGCGTAATATTTAACACACTATCCAAGAAGAAGAATAATAAGTTTCTGCGGCAAAACTAAGAGGAAATACTACACGAATCGTGTGGACGATGATTATTTGAGATGCAATACTGTCACAAGTGTATGCGATATCACGAGCCCTGCTCAGTCCTTCTTATCGTAAACTTCTTTTCCAAAGACGGTTTTTTCTTCCCCGTCATCGTAATTGGAGTAAACAGATAGAGATTTGTAAAAGATCTGAGCCAACAATATCCATATGGCAAGTTAATATCCATTCAAGACTTCAGGTTGCTAGCTACTAACCGACGAATAGGATAGTCAAGGTAGGTAGAAATTATGTATGGGTTGAATGGTGGTGAAAAAAAATGCTAAACTTGGAACCCTCAGCGGAATTCAGCTTCTTGCTAATGAAACATGTTAGTGGTAGCGGCATCACTATGTTTATAGTGTTAAACTGCTTCTGAATCATTTTGATTCTAACCGAAGAAATGAAAAAACGACGTAGTTAACCATATTTTAACAAGTACAAGATTGGTTTCGCTCATCATCATACTAACCGACGTTCTGGACTTCGATTAACTACCATTTGGGAAATAGCAAGATACCTGAAGTTATTAGAGACCGTTTCTGGAGGTGCAACCGTAGATTTTAGACTATTAATTAAGATTGCATACTTCTGTGTATCTGTTCGTCGGAACGACTGCCATATGTAGTGATGCGTTCTACTTACAAGAACGCATATAAACAGTACTCAGATAGATGAGAAAAGTAATCGAGAGTGAAATCCAATCGCTAGGAATCTACACAAAGAAACGAGAAACATATGAAGGAAATACAGAGGACAGGTAAAATACTAGAGACCTAAAGAGATTTGGTCTAGAATGTAGAATGCACAGATCACTTGTATAAACTGTGCCGAATGTGAGATTTTATTGTTTTATAGGCACTCATTTACATCTTGGAATAAGTAATCTCATCGGTTCTAACGAGTTTTATTCTACAGTAGTAGACGAAAACTTGTTATAGAATGAACCAATGATAATGCTAAGTGTTGAGTGATACAAATTAGTTGTCACCTACTCATTTTATGAGCAATTTACGAAGGTAGTCATCCTGATGTTCCTACGAAAGTTCTTGTATGACCAGTCGCTCATTGAACTATTTTTAGATATCACCAATGTCAAAATGTAAAGAAAGGATGAGAGCTGTGACTTCGTATGCTCATATCCATCAGGACATTTGTAGTTTACTAAATTGTAAAATGCCTAGGAGTTACCCACTTTTACATTACCGCGACATGGGCTGCTAATTCTGAGGAACACCAAATCAGTTTACTTTTACTAGGTAGCTGCTGAGTTTTGAGCAACTGTTAACATGAGAAGTGGAATGGAAATACACGAGTAGTGAACAACTGTTCTTAGTTAGAGATTCCTAAGCAGTTGACACTCATGATTCTGGAAGGGACAGACACGTAGGACCGTCAGGTCTCGTGACGAGAACACTGCTATTGAGTTAAAATGCAATAACTGGTGTTTCTGATTGAAAAAAAACATCCTCATGAAAAGCATGTGCATTAAATATAAAAATGAATGCGATTTTCATGTCCAAATTATTACCTTAGATATGAAAATACCTGGCTCGTTACTCCCAAATGGAAGATGCGTAGTATCTGATCCGCTACATATCGCTAAACCTAAAGGTCCACCACCAGTACGAATCGTAATTCGTTCTACAGGTATACCTTTTTCGCTATAAAGATACACTCGAGAATCAGACTTCCCAAAGATACAACCATCCGTATTCAGGTCTATTGATTCGGTAGCATTTTGAAAATCATCCGATCTCTTGACCACAACAGCTGGTGATGTAATGTAACCATTTGTTGCTTTCGAAATAAATTTAAAAGAGCAGAATATTAAAAGTGAGTTCTGAAATTCTTTGATATAGCACACAATAAAACGGTATTATTCACTGGTTGATATATACAGAACTAATTACTGCTTATAATAATACAAGCTTGTGCTCGAAACGTCAATCAATAAATAGTATTGTTTCAGAGTTTGTTACATCGTATGAATTTATCGAATCAGAATCCAACACAGTTGCGAAATTCTACTCTTAAATTTTGATGAATTAGCATTCTTTACTCCTAATAAAGAGAGTTGCAAAATGATTCACTCAAATTTCAGGTCATAATTATCTGTTGATTGACTCTAGTTCCAGTATTGTATACAAGCTTCTAGGATACAAATAATCCAGTTGAATGAACGGACGTATGTAACTAGGATTATACAACTAAAGATAAAAATGGAATTTCTCTTGTAACCTGAACTACTTCTTTATACTCTAAAAACTCCTATACTACATAGATAGGATTATTATCAACTTTCATCAAGCTATACCGAGTTCTGCAATGATCTTTTGTTCTCAAAATAAACAATATTTATCGACATAGATAAATGCTAGTTGTAGACAGAGCATGTCCAATTTAAAGGGGAAAAAATTAGAAAAAGTATCAAATGAAAATTCTCACTATTCTGAACCACAAAACTCCATTACTACTGCAATACTGAATATACACTAAAAAATATTAAAACCAATGATTGGTTTACCTAAGATTAAAAATATTACTTATCACCTCTAAAAGATAGCAAAATAAGAAAAACATTGGGAAAAATCTTACATGTTTTTACAGGACTATTGAAATTACCACTATCATCGACATTATAGCGAAGCAACTCTAAGTTTACTGATTGAGAACTAGTTAACAATGAAATAGCTTCATCATGGCGAGCATTTCTAATGTCAACACCGTTTATCTGTAAATAAATTGAAATAACGGAAGCAGGACAGAATGTCAGTTATGCAAACAACAGACTTTGAGAAAAAAAACCGACTTCAGTTTAGTTAATGAACGGGTTAACATGACTTGGAGAGGTAGGCTAGTTGTGTTACAACATTCCTGAATTTCTGTTATGAAACAATCACATAAATAGTGTGACAGATTCTTTAAAAATTCATTGTTTAGAAAGTAAAACCAGTAAGATTTATATCAGGAGATGAAATACGACAAAAATTATTGGACAAGAGAGGTATTTGCAAGATAAACTAGCGAGTACTAAATTAATTTTTACACTTATCAATACTACCTTCAATTTCCAGTCCTATCTAGCAATCCCTTGACATAAAAGATATGATCTATAGGGTTGGAATTAACCAAGAAATTGAATCACCCAATCTTCATTCTGTGATGCTAGATACTAAAATTGGTCATTAATTTGTTCCTGTCAAAGGATTTCAATGTCATGTAGAAACGGTTAGATACACGCAACAGAGTTCAATACTTTAAGTTACTTATCATCATTATCTTAAATGGTGGTGAAAATGCAGTTCGATGTTTTGTGTGCCGATGAAAACCACCAAAGTACTACTAGCTACTTAATACGGTTTCAGTAGTAAACACAAATATTTAGTAAAATAAAATGGGTATGGCATAACATTCAGTTAAACATTTGAAAACAATTAATATTATTTTTAAAAATGCAGAAAGATGAGAAGCGATCGAATTACTTATAAGCATGTAAAAAATAGATAAAAATACCAAAAAACTTATTTACACTTATTATCTGATCTCCAGTTTTTATTCGACCTTGTCTTTGAGCAGCTCCACCTTCAGTTATTTTACTGACATAGATGGCCTAAAACAGAAAGCAACCACAAAAATACATATGGGCATACACTGATAGAAAAAAGTATATCTATGTAAATTTTATGCAGTTGAAACTGATAAATCTTCTAAATCATGTCTACACATATTGACTTAAAACGTTTGAAATGCTCTATTCATTGACAAGTAAATATATTAGAAACTTATGATTTAAGTATAAGTTTGCTAACTTCTGGTCTGTTTGCAATAAACTCATTATCAGTACCCTAACTGTTCTTACTCCTTGTTGTTATTAAAATTGTAGATATCAAACTGTTGTGTATCAACTAATTCATTTTCTTCTTCCAGTTCATTAAAAAATAGAGCTATAGCTTATTGGTTTAGGTAGATGATTTTCAACCAATGGTTTACGAGTTTGAGGCCTTCCAAGGTTTAGACAGCTAGGTAGTAAGTATCATTGGCCCTCACATAATAGGTGTGGCTTATCGCCTATTGCACGTGTGTGTACAAGGCTGATGAGTGAATTTCAAATTCAATTTCAGTTCATTTTGATAGTTTCCTATTGTTTCGCTTATTGTATAATAAAATAACCTGAATTTGTACTCAATTCTGCCAAGTATTTTTTCTTCTTTGATTTCATTTGGTTTGTTAATCGGATTAATTACATTTCGAGTGAAATTAATAATCAATCCATCGTATCCTATACATAAAATGTTGAGAAAAGTTCTTAATTTAATACCATTTGGTCAATGAATATAAACAACTTTAAAATATTTCTGAATAATTCTATTGACTTATTGTACATGTCAATTTAGGCTGTTCACAACTTAGAACGGAATCAGTTCACCAACGTCTGGTGAAGATTAAAGAATATAACACAGCATATTAAGCACATACACCCTAAAAGCAAAACTATATTACTTATATTAAATTATCAACAGCAAAAATTATAGCAATATGATTAAATGTTATGTATAGACAGATGCCTTCTCTATGGTATCACAGTAAAGAAGAAAGCTTAGCTTCCATGCATAACTATTTGACAATATAATACTTGTCAGTATTTTTCAATGATGTGATGAGTGCTATCCAACACGTACTATTTGAGATAGCAAAATAAGTGTGAACAACAAATGTTACCAAATTATTCAGCTATAAAAAAAGGCTAAAATTAGGGATAAACTTATTCAGATAACTTCACAATAATATACCGGAAGTTTCCTACAGATAGCAGGATAGAAGGATATCATCAGAGCTAGAATAAATAAGACAGAAGACATTTAGCAAAAACATAAATCTTAGATTCGCTCCCATCACTCAGAGTCGTACAGGTAACGAAACGCAGTAATTACACTTGGTCACAAGTACTACAACATAAGGTGTATGTATTGTGTATTAGTTAATGACATACTATTTAGTTGTCGATAAGATGATTTCCAAAGCTGTTAATGAGAGACACTTAACTATTTACAAATTAGCACGTCAACCGTCAAACCGAATAACCTCTGACCAAGAGTAATCAGTTTGAAAAAGATCACATGATTGAGCATTAACTACACTTGAATCAAATGAATTGATTGGTATTTAAGTTTCGTACAAATAAAGTTAGAAAAACATCTCGTCTTGATAGTTCAGAGAACTATATTTCGAATCCTGACTGTACTTAAGCATTTTCAACTCCATTAATCGTTGTGTAACAAGTTTTTGTATCCAGGGTTAGATTATCTAATAGCTAATTACAGGAAATTTACAATAAAAAGCTGAAGTATTTATGTGTTACTGTATACGAGCAATATAATATGTCGATTTTGAGTTTCAGCAGGAATATTGATAGGAAGCTGCTTAGATTAAAATCAGCATTCTATATCATCAGCCAATAAGGTAGAAGTTTTGGATTTCAACCTTAGTTTCATGTTGCTGTGTAGGCAGGGAAAAACCTGATTTGACAACTTTGCCCTTCAGCTGATCAATCAAAATAAGTATTCAGCTTTTGACCTAGTGGCTTCATATTCTGAGGAAAAACTGTATATAAATGATGTACTTTTTCGTCAGATAAAGTGCCTCCCCTACAGTCACCGGCTGGTCTTTGTTTTCTGATTTCTGCGGCTCAATGAAGTATAAGATTCTGAGTGAGAACAGTCATTATTCGTATCCAGTCGAAGTGCTTTATCGAGTTATTATTCTTTGCGTATTGATTATTATCCACTCGGTCACTTCAAATACCTGTGTATCCAGCTTACGAGTACCAAGCAGGATGGAATGCATACTCTGAATCCCACAGTAAATTATTACTAAATCAGATTTATTTTCCTCAGTTTATATATAACTGAATCAGTAAAAATTATATGCACTTAGGAATTAAAGGAATATTTTTATCAAAACATCATTAGTCTTAATTTGGCATGACGAAATACAGCAAAAATAAAAACTATTACGATAGTTTTGAAATAGTTCCTCCATAATACATACGACATGAAGTAAAAAGCAGAAAACAAGATGAACAATATGAAATAAGTCAACAACAGTAATTTGCCTACTGAAAATAGTTTGAATTGATGCAGTATAAAACTGTATGTCCCTGAGGGATAAACAAAATTCTAATAACCGACTAACCGTTTAACCATACATTAGAATACAAAACCATATGTTATGACTGGTTGTAAGGTAAATGCTATACGGAAGGAAGTATTTACTAGCATCTCTCACTACACTAGCTACCTAAGTAACTTGCCTTGTTTAGGAGATTTGGTTTAGTTGGTGAGAAAAAGTATGAACACAATTACATTTCTCTCCTATTTCTATACACCTTACCCAGTAAATAAAAAAGCATCAATGCAAATCCAATATAAAATTTCGCTTCTTTTCAATTTAAATCATCCCTTCGATAAAGATTAATTTTACTCAGTACTTCAAAATTAAGGGAAGTAAAAGTTACGAAGAAAAGAGACAAAAAAAACCCAGTAAAGGAGGTTAAACAGAACTATATTCTATCGAAACTCATCCTTTTTCACTCGTATACAAAAGGTGTTGTAACTCACAAGCGAATAATAATGATAAACAATTGACGACATTATCATAACATTACTTGGCACGAACTAGCAACAGTAATATCCATATTTACAGTTAAAAAAAAGAGAGATAATATCAACAGGTATATACAAATATTTCAACGCTTTTCTATTCTATCTTTTAATAAACAAAATAAAACAAAAAAACAAAGACAATAAGATAACAATTATCCCACAGAAAAGTAAACGAAACACTAGAAACGACCAATAAACCTTTAGTCTCTTCATCAATAAGATGAAATAAAGACCTGTGATTGGTTTGTAAATCAAACAAACACTTCTTTTTAATTAAAAAGAATCCACAGTCATCATCAAATGTATGACTAATGATCATATACACAAACCTACCTCAATAAATTTGTAATTCTGAAAGAATTAATGAAATTTATTGCAAAGACTATATGTATATAAAATGAGTAGTACTTCAATTTCTTACAGCAAACTAGGAATAAAAATAATAACAGTTGTCCAATGAGATGGTAAAACATTAAGCTGAAATTTGTAGCAAAATGTAACAACAACTATACTCTTTGTAAAAGACAACATTAAGATTTCTAAAACTATTGACAGTAAACACAGTGTCTTTGAAATGTTAACTGTTTTGTTGTTATCTTATGATTTATATTCATAGGTTGCTGATAATTAAAATTAGTGTCTACACAAATCAGCTAACAGATGATGAGAATAAAAATTATAAGTCGATATTAGACAACACCTCTGTTACAACTTTTTGAAGAAGACAAACTAATGAACTATACGAAGATAGATTTTTCAGTTAAACCAAATTAAAAAAAAAAACATTATTTTTTAATCAATAGTGATTTACTGATAATATTTATATGCATCTGCCGAAATTATACACTTTTTTAACGGTGTTATGTTATCTATACTAGATGGTTTAATCGTAGAGCTTTCATTATCATTCTATATAATTTCATCAGCACAAACTTAGGAAAGAAAGAAGCTATAAAGTTTCCTCCACAATTTATTTGGTAGCTTCTCCTGATAGCCTTGTGAGCGACTGGTTGTTTCTGCCAAGGTCGTGTAACTGCCTCCACACTTATTTCCATTGGTTGTCTTGGTGATATGAAATCTGACGTTCTTGTTGTTTCTTATTGGTTAGTAGATTGGGTCGTTATCTATATTTACTAATAGCTAACTAATCTGAATACTAAGCTTCTAAAAATTTTTTCAAACATCCTTTTTATTTCCTCTATCCAGGGCTTTCACATTTTTGCAGTTAAATTCATGTCAGCAGTTGATATTCATGTAGATGGACTAAACCATCCAGCTCAGAGAACCAAACACCGTCAAAATTATTCTCCTGAGTCTCAAATATTCTCCATCATCTCGAAATTATACATTTTCGGTTAATAAAAGAAAATGTTTGGCAAGGCAACTAAGACATTTAAAATTGTTACTACTGCTGATAGGCATACAAAAAAGTAATACTCAGCTGGTGAACCAGTGAAAATCTGGGAGGTACCGTTTTCTTCTATTATTCTACAGTTACCTACTTCTGTCGACTCAAGAGAATGCACTAGTATCATCCAAAATCACAAGGGAGAAATCGTTTCATTTCCGACTTTAGTTAGCAACATAAGCTATAACTTCTCTTTAGAACTTCGAGATATTCATCTAGAGACATGATAATAATAAGCGCTAGAGAGAAATTTCGCGTGCAGTTAGGTGGAGATTTCATCTCGTCCGGTTAACTAGCCGGTCCTAAGTCCGGATAAAAAGGGAAGGTTGGACACAGAACTAGCAACCCTACTCCGCAAAACCAATCCAACCCCTAAACAAACTTCAAAGCACAAACAAAATATAAAAAATAATAACAATATTATTCCTCACTGGAATCGGACAGATGAAATGACACCAGTTGGTGAAAGCCTTCGGGAACCCAATTGGCCGATGTGTCTTCTCTCTCTCGATCAAAGCAAAAGTAAACATGGGGACATGG